TACCAGGTTGTTTCAAGAGACTCAGAGATGTCTATAAAAAGTAAAGTATTGTGAGCTTGTAAGTTTACTTGTACTTGGTTAGAAAAGGAATCTATTGTTTATTATCTATAGACTTATAGTTAAATACTCTGTGTCAGGAACATGTTTTGCATCTGAAATGGCCTGTATATGCATAGAAGAAGAACCAAAATAATGTAAGTATTTTGTGATTACTAAGTATACTTGAGTTAAAGTTATCAGTAGAGTAGTGTGTAAAATACTACAGGATTGGCTAATAGGCCCAGATATAGTCTATCTTATTTTGGTATCTAGAGCTTTGCCAGGTAGGTGCTGATTGTCCTGTGTGAGTGGTGAGGTTATACATATTGTTAGTTGTAAGGAACTAGAGTAATTTGTGTTTAATGTTAGTAGATTAGATAGTGCTAGTGGAGGCATTAAAGTTACTGAGTATGATTGGCAGAATGTTGTTAGCTATAGCTTGTTGGATTCCCTAGATGATTATATTCTGAGCTTGTATTTTAAGAGTAGAATCATTGTATAGAAGATAAACTGAAATGATGCAAAACTTGAAATTGTGTTTAAAGAAGATATTGATAGCTAGAGTATCGCCTGGGAAGAAAATAATATTGTGAATATAGAGGTAAGGTGGTTTTGGATCATGGTAGCAGTTCCTGCTCTGGTACTAGCAGTACATGACCAGAAGTAGATGTAGTGTTGAGTTTTATAAAGTTTGGTGGTGGTGTATGTACTATTTGCTAGTCTGGTTTTAGTAATACTAATAATATTAAGACTATATAGAAGGCAGTAATTTTCACAAGATTCTTTTTTAGTAGCCATATTTAAGCCTTTAACATTGTATGTACAGAAAGTGAGGTTTAGAAGTTAGAAATAGATAGAGACTATGTCAAAAGAATTACTCATAAGAGTGTTCATATGTGTCTATTGCCTCTGAGCTATTCAATGCCTGTGTGTTGCTTATTTCTGGAAGAGGAGTACTAATCATGTTGGTGTCTAAGGAGGGTGAGTTGGTTAAGGTTGGTACAGATATATCCATATCTTCTGCAGGTGTGAGAGTGAGGAGAAACTCATCTGGAACTAGTGCTAGGCTAGCAAAAGACATTACTATACTAGGGGTGGTAGGGTGTAATGCTAATAGGTTATTGTTGTTAAATATACTCCAACTAGAGGTAGAAAGAGAACAAAGTTGTAATAGTGTATCTGGGATTGCTTTAATTATATAGTGTTGCTTAAGGACCTTCATAGTAGGGGTAATATTGGCTTGTTTGCAAATGAGGAGTGAGACTATAACTTCTTGCTTAGACAGTGTTTGTATAATTTCCTCTATATTATTAGAGATAATAGAAAGTGGTAGTTTTGAAAGTATGCTTGTACTGTTAGGGCTTGGGAAGTTGTTTTTATTAATTTTAATTCAACTAGAGGGAAGTTGAGTAAAGTAGTAGTATTTGCGTAGAAATTTGGCAATCAAGATCAGGTCTTGTGGGGTTGCAATTAGAAAAGAGATATTGAAGTATCTCTTGATTTCTTTAGCTATTTGGAGAGTAGGCTTGTTAGTTAAATTGGCTTGCATAATTTTAGATAGGATTGAATATGGGATTCTGTAATAGGGAGAAATCTGTTTAATAAACTCTTTGGCAGCTTTATCATTGGTGATAGAATAAGTAAAAAGTGTAGCTGTTTTGATTTTACTAGTTTCAGTTGATAGAGGAGCTTTAGTAGCAAAAAAGTCATTGGGTAGAAGTTTAAAGATATAATATTCTCTGAGTAATATGATCATGTCAATGAGTGAAACTGAGAAGGTTGCTTGGTTAAATAGAAAAAATTTTTAGATTTTAGGATTTAGCTCTTGGTATGTTATAGGGAGAGGCTATTTAGATAGTGTTAGGTTAAAGTAAGAGTTAGAGATGTAGGATACAATATAGAAGTTTGCTACTTTTCGTTTATAAGCAGCAAAGTGTTGGAGTGCAGAGTGGTGAGAAATCAGGAAGAGCTGCTATAAGCTGGGTATAAGCTCATATAAATGAGGGGGAGAGATGGCAGACTTGTGAAGTATGACTCTGAAATTTCAAAGAACTTGAAAATTCTTCTTAGAGCATTTACTACAGCTCTAGTATATGATTTTTGTGTGATAGGGAGCTTGAATGGCAGGATATTATTTATTTCTTTGAGCATTTGTTTGGATAAATCAGGTAAAGAAATTAATTTGCTTTCAAGTGCTTTAATTATTTGTGCTTTGATTTCTTTATATAACTCCTTATTGATATTTTTGATTTGTAAGAATTCTCTGGCATAGTTGATAGCTTTCTGTACTAGTCTTGGTAGAATCTTGATAAAGTTAATATTGGTTAATTGTTGGGTAATAAGCATCTTTTTCAATATCAAGTGGATGGTATTACGTGTAGTGATATTAGTGAGTATGATTTTATTTTCTTTTTTGTAAGTTGATAGGGCTTTGTTGAAAATCTTATTGTATTCTTTTTGGTGAGCAGAGATAGTTTTGAGGTTATGGTAAATGTAGTAAAAACTCAAGTATTATAGTGTATAAATTTGAGGGTGATAGCTGCTAGTTATTTATATTGAGTTGGGGTAGTAGATAGTTTGTAGTTGATGAAGTTAAAGATGCTTTCTGGGACTTATAGGCCTTTGCAATAGTATCATATAACTATGTATTAGTATCAAATAGGGTGGTAGTAGGGTTGAGATCTTGTTGTGCATGATAGTAGCCTACTTCATATTATCTGGGATATTAGTAGCAAGGAGTGTTAAGTTGGTTTTGGTTACTTGGCTATAAAGTGGCTTGATTTAGGTGGAATAGCTAGTAGCTTGTACTCTGGAAGTAGTTAATATGCTACCAGGTATCATATTGGTAGCTTTGCTAGAGATTGTGATAAGTAGTAATATGTTTCTAGCTCTTTTATAACTAGTATTAAAACTAGCTATAGAGATAGTATTATTGAGAATAGGTGTAATTGCTAAGATTACAAATGTGGTAATCTGGATAGTGGGTGTACTAGATCTAGATATACTGGTTATGTTAGCAGTATTGGTAGCTAGTGATAGTACTGTAGTTGTGTTTGTATTGGTGTTAGTGTCTTTGTTTATATTATATATAGTAATGTTGGATATATCAGAGGGATTATTTGTCATGGAGTTAATAAATGTTCATTGTACTCAATATCATTATCTAGAGGTTTGTATTATTCTTTTATACTTGCTTTATTTTGTTACTTCGATTACCTTCTCACACTCCTGTCTTTACCTTAAAGTCTCTTTTACCATGTCCCTCAACTAATTTAACATAGTAATACTATTAGCTTTTACAGGTTTTATTTACTAGAAAATCAAAAGGTAGGTTCAATCTTTAAGATCGAACCTCATATTTATTTACTTTATTAAGCATGATTACATAATTGGCTATACATTGTTAACTTTTACATTATTTACTTTATATTGTTTGGTATGCTATTGATTATATATATATTACTATATATCATTACACTAACTACATATTACGATCTAGCTTAGCTACTAATGCCCCAACACTAATAATATGTGTAACCAATCAATTCATGACATAAGCTAGGCATCGTGACTTCATCCACGAAGTCTTTCTGCCTCTAATTTCATTTAATCTTCTTGTCCTTCATTACTAGTTTTATTTTCTTTTCTTTTATTTGCTTCGTATATATTGAATCTTTTGATTCTATTTCTCGCAACAGGGTCCCAGAGCTTAGTTCCATCTACTTCTTCAAGGTAATATTATTCATGTTCTCACACATTCAATATCTTATAGGGTCTGATTCATCGATAATCCAACTTTCTTGAACTATTATTCAATGTTGTTATACTCTTTCTTGGGCCCATCAATCATGAAACTCTTTCCAATACCATTTCATATTATCATGGTTAACTCTTGCCTTTTCAAGGTCCATTACCAATTTTTTTATTTGCATGGTTCAGTATTCAAGTAATTGTTCAGTTGTCTATTGTTCTTTCGATATGTACATATGATAGTTTTCAAAAACTATCTCGATCAGTGCAATCATATCTCGTCTATACACAAAATGAAATGGCGAATAACCTAAGTTACCAACTGTAGTATTGATTGCCAAATTGCACTACGTACGTACTCATGCCATCGATTTTGCTTTTCAGCACATACTTTATATATAATTCTAGTAAATTTTTGGACTACATGTTTAGCATGGCCATTTGCCTCAGGATGTTAACTCGTGATAAAATGTTGATCCATGTTCATTCATGATGAAAGTTTCTCCATTATTTTATTTTTAAATTCTGTCCCTCTATCTGATACTAAACTCATAAAACAATTATGCTGCAATACTATATCCTTCCAGATAAATTGTGCAATATTTTTTGCATTTTTACTAACTAGTGCTTTTCCTTCTACATATCCTGACAAGTTTTTAATTGCTAACACCACGTGTTTGTGCTTTGCTACAGTATGTGGTAAAGGCCCAATACAATCTATAAAGACTTTATTAAAAATCTAACTAGTCGACGTTACATGAATAGGTTGTGGCAGTAACTTAGTAGCGCATCGTTGACATGTTTTACAACTTTGTACAATCTGTTTTACATCTTTATATACACTTCCTGATGTCCATACATACTTCATCATCACAGCTCTTACAGTTTTACTATTCCTTTATGTTCACCTTCATATGCGAAACCTTTATGACTGGCTCTATTATTTCATATTTTTCATCAATACCCATTATTACATGTTTCGAAGGTGCTTCTTTTCTGGATCGTAAATATAGATTAACACCGATTAAACAATAGCACTTCAATTTTCTTTTCAGTCATAGCAAATCACATGCATTCACATGAGGATCCCAAGTCATATTTCGCAAAAATTGCCTTATTAAAATTAGATCATTCATTTTTTTATCTTCTAAATTGACCTTATATATTAATCCTTCAACAAAATCTTCATCAGTTTCTTTGATTTGACTTGGAGGATTTGGGTAATATGATAACCTATCTGCATTGCCATGTTTCTTTCCTGACTTATAATGAATGTGAAATTCAAAAGATTGAAGTAACAGAACCCATTGCATCAACCTTCCTTTAAGTTTAGCCTTGTTGAATAACTATTCTAACACTTGATAATCCACCCAAATATCAAAATCAGCACTATCTATATATCTCTCATTTGTATGATACCCAAATATAATTGCTAGCCATTCCTTTTCAGTTATAGTATAATGTTTTTCGTGTTTATTGAGTTTCCTTAAATCGAACAATACTGGCCTCAATCTACCTTTATCATCTTCCTGTTCAAGGATTACAACCACAGAGTGATCACAGGCATCTGTACATATTTGATAAGGTTTTTAATTTTTTTTCGCAGCTTGCCAATCAGGCCCTTTTAAAATAATTTCTTTGGACAATTTTCATTTTAAGGTTTCGAATGCTGATTTTTCATCCTTCTC